CTTACGGCGAAAAGGAAGGTCAAACTGACTTTTTGATGCTTAAAAATTGGAATTTTGGAGCGAATTTTTCACAGAATTCGCATTAAGACTAGTATTACTTGAAGCCATTAGTAGCTCAATTTTTTAAAAAACTGCACTTATGCGCCCTGTCCTCCAAGCCCCTTAATTTAGTATTCAAATGGAGAACCACTCAAAGTAAATTTGTAAAAACTTCCGTGATTTTTCCTATCTGAATCAATTCCTGGAAATATTTCAAGAAATTATGTTCAATTATTCTCCTTTAAAAAAATAAAAAAAGGAATGGAGATTTTTAAACACCGAAAACGAGAAACGTGGTTGCAAAGTTTCACCGTCATATTTAATCAATGACTAATTTGGGAAATGCGCCTAGGGCTGTTGTCCCCGATTGCGTTGTAAATTCCCGCTGTGCCTTTTCAATTTTTTTTAAGAGAGGTAAATCTCAATCACTCAAGTAATCACAAGAAATTTCGATGAAATACTTTGGTTGGTTCCTTTTTAAAAAATGGGGAAAAGATATACTGGGATATATTAAAAAAAATTAAACAGAAGGGGGGAGACGGTTCTATTCTCATATGGACGTAGAAAATTTCAAACTGCGTATCTCGGTTTGCAATGTGGTAGACTTCTTGTCATATATTTGATTTTTTAAATGGAAAACTACTCAACTTCAATTCTTAAAAACTTCCATGAGTTTTCCTCTCTGTGCGAAGAAAACTCTGTGAAAACAAAATGGAATGAGGTCGATTTGTCCTCCTTTGGAAAAATAGAATGGGAATTGAGATTTGAAATTACTGCAAACAATACACGTGGTTTGGAAGTTTCAGCGATAGGATTTTTCATTTTTAATATTTAATTTTTTATTTTCCAAAATTGCATGCTTTATGTTTGTGATTTCTGTTACTATTATTAAAATGAGTCGTACGTTATGTGCCCAAGAGAGGCTGCTTCTGTATATAAGTAAAATAAGAAATAAAAATATTGAGTGCCCAAGTTGATCCTGAGCATGTAGCAAGGCGTGAATGATCGAATATCGATAATGACCCATTTGAAGCTATGGTAAAGAATCGATAATTAAGGTATTTGTAGCGAACACCCTGTTAATCGATCATTTTCCATATGTTTGAAAGGCAGATCAATCGATATGTTGTAAAACAAGCCACGCTACTGATCCTAAGCTACCATTGCGTGGTCAATCAGAAGAACGACCTATCTCAAATACTATTTCATCGTCATGGGAGTTGGTGTGGTGGTATGTTTAACCGCTTGAAGGCGGGATCAGTGCGTGGAGTCATAAACTTGATCCACTCTGGAGAACACTTTCACTCACAGCGCCTGAACTCCCTATCATAAAGCAACTGTAGCACTGTATGTACTGTTGCATCTCTTCGGACTGAAGGCGAATCACGACTCATAACAATTCTCAGGTTTACTGACTTATGTATACGACCAGGCATACCGGTACTGGATTCGTAGGGTCTTTATCGTCTACATACTATTGTAGATATGCGATTAAATCTGTATCGATAGTGTCCCTCTTGACTCTTAGAAATGTATAATTTACAATTCCGTAGGAAATAAGTCTGCTGCGTGCGCACAAGGTATCCATGCCAATCGATACTTATAGAAATCGGAAGATCTGCACGCTGCAATTGACGAGAGCATAAAAATTACTCCAAAGTTAAGTCACAAAATAAGAATTTTAAACCTCCTCCTGTTATCATTCTCGCCTGAAATACAAACACATCGATGGTACAAATGACTGAACTTAATAAGGAGTATCGATACCATCAAACACGATACTCTTGCCGGGTATGAATTACTATCTTCTAAAGTATCGATGCTTGGAAAGTATATATACATGGTCATCTTTACCGAGATTTTAGTCCTAACGATTTCCAACGAATCAGCGGGCTGATTATTGACATTTATGGACAAAGTGAACAAATAGAACAAAGGGAATAATGGAGAGGTCCTGTTGGTTGAAGCGGGAGATTCTTACACTTTAGTGGGAAAAATGATATACTATAATTGTGGGGTCTCTCATACATGAGTAGTTAGTCTATTGCATACCTCATGTGTCTATAACATCCACCCGCGCTTCCACCAATAGGATTCCTTCAGTTTTCCTTCATTGTCTATGTTTATAGCTATGCCTACAAATCAATTTCAGTAAGCAGCGCACATTTAGCTCGTAGGTGGTGCTGATGAATAAGATCCGTGCGTAGTTCGTACGAATAGGTGAAAAAAACAATCGTTTTGACTGCGGATATATTCTCTCGGCGCGCGCCAGAGCACAAAGATGCATCAGAGGAGATTAATTGTGTACCATAATATTCTACCGCGTTAAGGAAAAACGCCGTAAGAACATCCCGGTGTTGCCGAATTTCCTTCGATAGAATGTTTATTTCTCTGGAAAGTTACGCATTTTTTTCATTAAAATTTTCAGATGTGTTAGATAAAATGTGAACAAAATTGTCTGAAAAATTGGTGGAAAAGTATCCAGAATTTTCCCAGTAAATTTGATTTATATTGAGGGAAATATGGCAATGTCTAAAGGCTCACGCGACGTTTTCCCTTAGCACGGCAGTATTAGCGGTTCCCCGTTCGAAGCGAAGCGAAACTTCCTAATAAATGAATTGAGCGCACGTTCGGTTATATCATTCAGAGTGTTATTCACTTGTTACCCACGCTTCGACGCGGCGCCCCGCGAGAAAATTAGCATTTTTTTAAGAAGAGAATGTTACACTGACATAAATCCGTCTATTAGACCCGGAAAGAACAGGTACCGTGAATTAACGAATGCAGTTCCACTCTCTAGAGGATCCAATTCTTACGCGAGAAGAGAAGTTGGGACTGCAGATATGAAGATTTTAATCGGACTTTCTGAATAATGGAATGAGTGCCCAGTAAAACCGGGAATAGTTTCTGAGATGGTTTTAAGTATTGTGAGGTCGCTGTCATACTAAATTGGACAGTATTTCAAACATTTCCTTTTATTATTAAAAAATAAAATACTGTCAACAATAATTAAATTGATAGATTAGTTGATAGATTGATGAAATTGATAGATATTATATTATTGATAGAATTGTTAGATTGAAATTGATAGATTGATAGATAGATAGTTTTCAAAAAATGACTTTTGTACATTTAAATCCAGCAAGTAATGTTTGACAGGAAGTCTGCAACGCCGCAAACTAAGATACGCATCTCTACGGTTTCACTAAGGGAAGGAACCACTTAGGAAACAAATATGAATTCAACCCTCATTTTACTTTTGATTCTCTCTTAAAGTGTAGAAAAAGTTTCAATTATTTTACCCAACACCCAACCGGCAATCAGAGCGAGGCCATAAAAAGAAATCGCAGAATAAGGCGGAAAGTTAATGATCTGTTTACGCGTATAACTCGCTCTTGCGGAGGAACGATGAACTTTATGCCTCCGCAGAGAAAGTGCCCCCCTCCGAACCTTCATCTCCCATGGCTGCAGTTGCAACTTTGGTCATTGCCGAGCGCAAACCAGATCTGCCATAAAACTTGCTTCGGTAAGCTTCGAGATCGGTCTTGTACACAGCGTGTCTGCGGTGTTGCCGATTTGCTGAGAAATTAAAATATTTTGACATTATAATGACCCTCAGCTTGGCAGGACCAAGGACAAGTGCCTAACGCCTACTGTTGAAAATCAGTGCAACAAAAAGAAGGTAAAAAAATGTCCCAAACTTAGGGAAGAAGTTATTGACATCATGAATAAAAAACTTCATGCGTGGGATCCGAAGTTCAAGTCATATATATCTCTGAAGTTTCTGGATTGTGCATCGGAAAATTTGAGGTCAAGCTGCCGAAGTTCAGGTCACACGACTGAAGTACTTTCAATGTGTGACTTGAACTTTGGCAACTGAAGTAGTGGACCTCAAGTTGTCCGATGCACAATCCGACTTCGAACATCGGGTGCCACGCACGAAGTATTTTGCTCCGTGTGTCTTGGTCCATTGAGTCCGAAATAACCCCCATTTTTTCCTATCACTCACCAGTTTTCCGGAATAACCAATTTTTTTTACGGAAAAATGTTCCGAAAAGTCATTCTTGCTGCTTTGCAAGTAACAAATTCAAAAGACTACCAGATTTACAATGAGTCTAGTGTATTTTGAGCTGTTGAACCAAAAAATGACCCAAGATAATATTTACCATCTCTACAGTTTCCCAGAAAAACTAATGCGTCCGAAAATAATTTTTCACTATTTAAAGAAGGAGCGTAAAGAACTATTTTAGAAGGAAGCTAGTTTTCCTAAAAAAATCTGAGGTCGTTATCGGATTCGGCGGTTCGAAGTACACTTAGATCATCCCTCTATATACCTGGGAATCTCTTATCCTTGTTTCTGTTTCAGCGGCAAGAATAGCTTTTTGCGGAATTTTTACGGCAAAAGATTGAAACTCCAAGAACAGGGCTGCAAATTGTTTTAGGCCTCCGCAATTTTCTGCGACACGCTGGGTTTTCGCAAGAAGGCCAACGCAATGCCGTGATCAAACTTTTGTTGAATTGTTTGTAATCTTAGAATAAGTGCCAAAGTCGCATTATTCCACGTGAGTTGAAAATATGAAAACTGAAAAATCTAATTCAAAAAAAAAAAAAAAAAATCTCAACCTCGGAAATTTTTAGAGCAATTCCAGAATTTGGTCGCGATCGCGCGGTCGAGAACGATTTGCACCCCTGTCCAAGAAAATTGGTGGGTGGTAGGAAAAAAGGGCGTTCTATTCAGAATCAAAGGATGATCGCAATAATCTGTTATCAATCTGCAATGAGTGAGCTCTATCCTACGTTATTATCCATAAGTGATCGATACACGGTGAAAAAAAATGGTTGGATGGCAGATACGTTTATTTGGTGCTTTTTAACATCTGGGCCATTAACACCTTAGAGAAGAGATCAAAATAGTGTAAATGACCCATTTCTTTTATTGATGTATGTAAGTAAGTCCTTACCTGAGTTCTGGGGAGGATTGAGCGAGGAGCTTGACGCAGTCAAGACATCCTCTGGCGGCGGCATAGTGAAGGGCCAGCGCCCCATTTGAGCTTCTCTCTAGAGCCGGCATCCCGTTGTCCCACTCCAAAAGCCACTTCCCCACATTTATCTGGTCGTATCTGAAAACACAACAAATTCACCTCGAAATTAATTATTTGAAAATGCATTTGACAGTTGTCACCAGTTGTCACTAGCTGTACTAGTACAGGGTGGCATGAAACGTAAGAGAGAAGTAAAATATTGAAAATTCCAGTGAAATATTTCATGACATTTCACGAGGCTGTGAAATATTTCATATTTTACAAGGGCTAGAGTATGCGATTCACACTCAAATACACAAAAATAGAAGAAAGTCACAATTTTTTTACATTTTGCGAAACATGAAAAGGAACCGGAATTTTTTAACTTTCATAAATTTCTGAAATTTCATGAAATATTTCCCGTGAAATTTCAAGATTTTATTTTTCATGAAATTTTTCCACCCTGTCTCAACCTCACAATATCTAGGATATGTTTGCCGGAAAATACCTCACGATTAGCCGTAAATCCATGTTAATACGTCGAAATAATGAGTTTCATTGAAGTTTTAGGTGCGATATCGAGGGCTAAGGAACAGTACCGCGTAACTGACAATTCTGGCAAAACTTAGTTAGCAACTTTGCCGCATTCTACAGTGTAAAATACCCAAGCGGGTGTTTTTAGTTTATTTCTAAAACTGTAGATGAGTGCTGTGATAACGGTGTAATTTACGAAAAAATTGCACATCTAACCTCAAAATTACAAAAATGGCGAAGTGTCTCATCGTCCTGTAAAATTGTCGGTTTGCAAATAAGCGTTATTGTCCCGTAGCCATCGATACGCGAATAAAACCACAATTTTAGTCATTCTGTAATTGCGTTTGCTTATATCGTCCGTCATTTTTGGGTCCTAACAGCTCCACGAAGTGCAAGATGGAGGAGCCAATCAAGCGGCCCCCTCATCGCGATAGTCCCTGACATGGCGCCCTGTGTTAACTGCTTAAGAATTGCTCCACTCTAATTTCCTTCATTTCGGAGGGTATGCAATTTGATCTCCGGAGAGTTAAAACAGTTGCTCGAGATAGGAGCGGGCTTGCGGCAACGCGAGACATATCACGCGACCCGACTTCAACCATTTCTTCGTGCGCCGTCTCCTCTTACGAAGAGAAAATTTTTGGCGAGCAGTGAATAATAACCTTGTCCGTACGCCTTTGGTGCCCGGTAAAATGCATTTATCAATATTGTATCCTGTGTAATGCAAGTTTGTCAAAAAGTATGGTAAACTATGCTCAGAATTCAGATAGATATTGTCTGTTCGCGGAAACTGTCGAATGTTCCTAAACTGTCGTTAGTTTTCTCTCCAGGTCTTTTAACGACCTAAACACCGGAGCCAATCTCAAGATCTGCCCGAATCATAGCCCCTGTCTTAGCGGTAATTAAAGACGGCTAGGGTCAGGTTCAAAAGCTGTGCCGGCCATTAAAATAGCGCCTGTTTCTGAGACTCGCCGCGTGAAGGAAATATAAACACGACGACTAAATGTGGCAGCATTGTTGCCGATTTGTTGCCGTTGAATCACTATTTGCACTGTCAGTCTCGTGTAATTTTCCTATTCAAATCGGTCTTGACTTTGGTTTTATAAAATTGAGGGCCTTTTGTAAAAATGTTGCTTTTTTTAGAAATTAAACGCAGGCGTGTTGCTTGCTCCTTTCCTCGTCTCTCCTACAACACCGAAGGGAGATTTTCCTTTGGACTCTTTGTGTTGCGCACTAGAGCTCTGAAAATTATGGGCCTTTTGACGAATTTCATCCGCGTGAAATGATGACTTTATCCTCGTGAATAACCGGAAATTTTAGTTTGACTCAATTTCAAATCCAGTTCTTACAAAGAAAATCATGAAACAAAAGTCATAATAAAATGTTTGTCCACTTCATTAAAGTAATAGTCAATTGAAAGCTTCCATCAAAGGAATTCATCGTGGATTATAACGAGATCTCAAATCACGTATCTCGTTTGAGCAGGTGTTTTGATCTTCGCACCTGTTTTATTTTTTCAAAGGTAAAAACATTAACATCATTCTTTGAAGTGTTCACAAAATTTTCCTCACACAGATGATAATAAAAGTCACGGCATTTTTGAATGGCTCCCCGAAGCGGCGGGGAAAAATTATATTTTCACCGGAAAACGTACAGGATTGCAAAGTCTCTACAATGCTGTGATTCTACGATTGCAAGCTCGCGGTGTGCACTCATTGTACATTGCGTACACTGGAGTAGGTTTGACACCAAGAAAATACGACTTTTCAACGACCTGAGCGCACACCGTGGTATACGCGCAATGCATGAAGTATTCTGCGGACTTGTAAGGCGCTCTACGATGCGTGGCGCGGATCGTGCTGTACGCGCGATGCATGAAGTATCCTGCGGTCTTGTAAGGCGCTAGTATGTAGTTTCGAGCCGTGCGCGCCAGCCCCGCGCTGGCCGCACTGTGTTTGATGCTATCATTCAAACTTGCGGAGTCAGCGGTTTGTAACTTATGATTTTGAAGTATTTGTAAGGTTTGTTGGAACTATTGTCATTCCAGATAAAAAAACATCGCATAAAATCCAACTAATTTTTTTCTCTTCATTTGCATTCTTTCATAAATAATTTTAAATAAAAGCGTACAAGTGCAGAGACTTTTACTTTTAGGCTCTCTTGTTGCTCAGCAATGTAATGGCGTGATCATTTGGACTACATTTTGCTATTCGGAACTACAATTTCTGGCTCATCTGTAAAAACGATTGTGAGCAGAAGGAAGCTAACGGTACATACGTCGTTCCTAAAAAAAGTCAGAAATTGTGATTTCAATTTGCATTTCCCAAAAGCAAAAGAAGTTCATTTGATCAATGAACCCTTTCGAAGCGTAGGCGTAGGGTGCGGATTCGACGAAGCAAAGGGTATGAATTCCATCGAAATGAATCGATCGAAAAGTAAAAACGAGAATTGATCGAAAAACTCGTGAATTGATCGAATGGACACCGATGTTTTAATAATTTGTCGAGAGAATTGGCGTCGATCGGTTCGCGGCCATCGGTAAGGCGATATACGTTTGAACGTGTATTATTGTAGCTTTTTCTGACGATTTTTTCTTTCTCAAATCTATTGTCACTATTGTCATAAGAAGTGTATATTATGAAAATCTCATATACAATTGTTTCCATAATTAGTTATGTGATTATTAAGTGTTAGATTATTTATAATCTTGAATTATTGAAAATAAAATAAAATATTTTTACCAAAGAAACCTCTCTCCTGGGCACGGTAATGCAACATTAATGTGTTGCAATTAACAACATTTTTTAAATTCACAGGATATTTTCTCATATTCTATCCATAAGGACCAATTTACTATAATAATACAATCATTGGTTTTTCTATGGTAGTAGACGGCTGGAAAAGCTTTCAATTCATTCTTATAAATTATATCACCTCATCCGTATTCTTATCCTCTAGGTTTTGCGTAGCTCGAGAATATATCCGGAGAATTCGGGAAGGATTAAAATCAAGAGAGGAGGGGAAACGGACCCAAGCCATTCTTCCGGGCAGAGTTGTCAAGTTTCATGAATAATTACATTCTAACGTTACCGAGCACATTGGAGAAGCTAATTCATGTTGGCTTCGTCGTAGTTTGGCACCCTCGTTTCCATGGGTCTGTGGCCCGTCTACAGATTAAATCTCCTATGCTAAATTGCTTTCACTCACTCAAAAAATTTCGGCCCCGGTGGCTGTTTTCCCTTTCACCCGCACCACAAAAAAAAAAACTACGCCGAAGATTTGTCGTGATTAGCTCAAACACAGAATATTTATTTCTTAGTGGGTGTGAAGCGATTCGATGCAAAGTTGCGCAAGTCAATTATTCGTTGACTTGATAAAGGTTTCCATTACCTATTCGTTAAGGGCTACCCAGTAACGCAAGTCATTTTATTTAACGCATCACACTTATGTCGTAATGGCGGTATTCTAATTTTTTTATTGCCTTTTTTTCAGTCCTCAGTTTTTGTTGGATATCCTATTTCTTTAATAAAGATTTCCAATTTGTAAGGCTACAAGAAGAACAAGAATCAGCATTTTTTAATAGTTCACAACTACCATGCTTCAAGGAACAAAGTCACACTGAAAAAAAAAATGAAGTTAATTAAACTCAGTGGATTCTGGATGTGAAAAATGTGCTAGAACTTATAAAATGCTGAATTATCCGCCACAGCAGTCAGTTTTACAAATTGGCATTGCTACAGTTACTGCTGTAGCTAGTATTTCAGCGTTTTTCAAGTTCTCGCACACATTTCTTACATGCAGATTCCACAATGTTCGATCAACTTCATTTTTTTTTCAGTGCAGCTAAAATGAATGAAATGCACAAACCGGACAAACGTTCGCTGCTCGTGCAACTCAACTTGTCTACTCACCCGATACTTTCAGAATATCAAATACTAAACACAAAAGTTAGTGACCCATTCTCCGAAAAATTTGGATAAAATGTACTTGAGTTCTTTGAGAATCCGTAACTTATCAAGGAAAATTTGGCAACGCCTGATGGCTCTTACGGCGTTTTTCCTCGCCTCGGCAGTGCAGTTCTTCACTGAAAAAAAAATCTCGGTGTATTTACTAAGAAAAGGGTAAAATTACCAAGAATTCAGGGTTCTATTTGATCCCAGTTTTTTTGGGGTAAAATTACCATTTATGGAATTGGTAATTTTACCGAGAAATCTCGGTAAAATTATTGAACTTTCTCGGTAATTTTACTGGACCTTGGTAAAAACGCCAATATTTTTTATCGACTGTGGTAGAATTACCGAGATAAAATGGCAAAGTTACCGGGAATTGATTACCAATAAAAGTGGTATTCTTACCTGAAAAAAAACCAGTAAAAATACCGGTTTTTAGGTAAACTTACCAGCCTGTCTTAGTAAAATTACCAATAATTGGTAAAAAAAGTGAGATGGTAAAGGTACCAACGGACCTTGGTAAAAACGCCGAGAATTTTTTTGCAGTGCCCATTCTCCGAAAAATTTGGATAAAATATACTTGAGTTCTTTAAGAATCCGTAACTTATCAAGGAAAAT